TTCTTCCATACTTTCTATGTTTGGCCCTTACCAATATATAGTCTATCATCGATCTATGTTCCCCTGACCTATAAGTAATCAATCGCGCTGGTTCCTTTGTGAACCAAGTATTCCCCACCACCATGCTATGTGCATCCGCCAACTCCAACACTCTACGCCCTTCCTCATGTACACCTTCATATCCGTCTGCATCCGCCCCCACATGACCATTCAAATCACCCAACAACACCACAAACTCATTCAACCCCGCTTGCCCAATCTCGTCAGAAACATCATCATAAAACCTATCCTTCTCCTCTTCCTTCCTACTTTGTTGCGGAGCATATCCTGATATCACCCTCACTATTACTTTTCCAAACACCATCACCATCACAATTACACCATTGCTTCTCCGCCTCACTTCCAACACCTTCTCCACCAACTCTTCTCTTACCATCACACCAACTCCTCCAGTACCATCATCCCCCTTCCACCACAACTTATATCTTCCACCTTTAGCCTCCACAAACCTTGTACCCTCACCCTTCCATCTGATCTCCTGTAATGCAGCCACGTCAACCATTCTCCTCTGCAGTTCCTCCACCACTTCCAAACTTCTTCCTGTCAACGTGCCTACATTCCAGGTACTCTAACCTCCACCGCCACACTATAGAGTGGGGTGCCAGTAGCCAGACCATCCACAGGGCCTTGCACCACAACCCCATGGACTGGGTCTCCTGAGATTCTTCGCACCCTCTTCTGCCGGATACTGAGGGCCATTGTTATTTCCGTCATCATAAGTATTATTTTTGGCTAGTTTTTACGCAGGACGCCCTTCCTTACGCAACCAAAGTTATAAGCGGTGGGCCTAGCCTTTGATGATCCAACATCACTCACAAGGCAGTGAGGGTCAGTTTAATGTCATAACCAGGACTATGTCATAACCAGGACACAACACTATTATAACAAAAAAAATTTTAGACAATAACACCGAAGCAATAGCAGAATCAATTTTCATCGATAAACGTAAACCAGCAATAAATATAAAGAAACACATGATTAACTTTAATGAAGTTACAATCAAAGTCGCTGTAAAAACAAAGACACAAAGACGGAACAATAAATACACTGATGATGGCAGTTGATGCCGAAAAGAGCTTTCTGTAGTAAAAACGTTATTAATAATGTTTTGTCAAAAATTTCAAATATTAAAAGTTTTTTATTTAACCTTAATAAACTTCATCAAGACGATAAAAGTCTAATAATGAAATGAAGTAATAGTTTCGAGCTAGTAATAGTATCATTATCTGGGCTCCGTTGTCGCGGGTTGATGTAGGCGGGGCATACGAAATCAGTCACTTTCCTCAGTGAGTCGGTAAATATGTATAAATATATATATATTTATGCTGGTGAGTCATATATATATATATATATATTCATATCAACAAGCATAAACCCTCACTCAATAAACAATATAACAGCTTTGATCACACTTTGCAATCGTTTTCTCAATATCACGATCTCACACCTACTGTTGCCGTTGGGGTTAATCCACAGGATCTGCGTGTACCACAATGATT